CTTAATGCCCTTGGCTCTATCTTCGTAGAGATTCTATTTTTCTTTGTTTGTTATCCTCCATGAAGACATCTCAGGTGGGTATTAAAAAGTATAAAACAGGAGGGATGGGGTAATTGGGTGAAGGGCATTAAGAAGGGCACTTGATGTAATGAGCACTGGGTGTTCTATGCAACTGATGAATCACTAAGTTCTACCCCTGAAATTAATAATATACTATATTTCAACTAAACTGAATTTAAATATAAAAAGCAAAATGAACTATTGGGACTTCATTAAGATAAAAAGCTTCTGCACAGCAAAGGAAACAGTCAACAAAACTAAAAGGCAACTTACAGAATGGGAGAAGATATTTGCAAATGTCTTATCAGATAAAGGGTTAGTATCCAAAATCTATAAAGAACTTATCAAACTCAACACCCAGAAAAATAAATAATCCAGTCAAGAAATAGGCAGAAGACATGAGGAGACATTTCTCTGAAGAAGACATACAAATGGCCAAAAGACACATGAAAAAATGCTTGACATCACGCAGCATCAGGGAAATACAAATCAAAACTACAATGAAATACCACCTCACACTGGTCAGAATGGCTAAAATTAACAAGTCAGGCAATGACAGATGTTGGCGAGGATGAGGAGAAAGGGGAACCCTCTTACACTATTGATGGGAATGCAAGCTGGTGCAGCAACTCTGGAAAACAGAGGTTCCTCAAAGTTTAAAAATATAACTTTAAATCACCCTTCATGGAGCTTATGGGGAACCTCTGTGCACCTTCCATGCCACCTGGAAGTTTCAGGAGACTTTAAATTGCCCCATCCAAGCCCTCCCTTTCTATGTCACACCTTAGTGCCTGTTTTATACTTAAAAATTTTTTTCTTAAATTTTTTATTTAATGAAGGTTCCTCAAAAAGTTAAAAATAGAACTACCCTATAATCCAGCAATTGCACTACTAGGTATTTACCCAAAGGATATAAACACAGTGATTCAAAGGGGCACATGCACCCCAATGTTTATAGCAGCAATGTCCACAAGAGCCAAACTATGGAGAGAGCCCAGATGTCTATTGACAGATGAATGGATAAAGAAGATGTGATATTTATTTATTTATTTATTTATTTATTTATTTATTTATTTATTTATATACATTATATATAATGTATGTATACATTATATATATACATATATAATGAAATATTACCCAGCCATCAAAAAGAATGAAATCTTGCCATTTGCAATGACATGAATAGAACTAGAAGGTATTATGCTAAGCAAAATAAGTCAGAGAAGGACAAATACCATATGATTTCACTTGTATGTGGAATCTAAGAAAAAAAGCAGATGAAAATAGGGGGAGGGAAGGAAAAATAAAAGAAGAAGAAAACAGGTAGGGAGGCAAACTATGAGAGATTCTTAACTGTAGGGTACAAACTGAAGGTTGCTGGAAGGGAGGTGGGTGGGGAATGGGGTAACTGGGTGATGGGCATTCAAGAGGGCACTGGATGGAATGAGCACTGGGTGTTGTATGCAACTGATGAATCACTAAATTCTACCTCTGAAACTGACAATGCAATATATGTTAACTAAATTGAATTCAAATAAAAAATTTAAGAAAAAAATTTTTAAGTATAAAACAGGCAGTACCAGGCACCTGGGTGGCTCAGTCGGTTAAGCGGCTCCCTTCGGCTCAGGTCATGATCCCAGGGTCCTGGGATCGAGCCCCATGTCAGGCTCCCTGCTCAGCGGAGAGCCTACTTCTCCCTCTCCCTCTGCCTGCTGCTCTGCCTATTTGTGCTCTCTCTCTATCTCTCTGTCAAATAAATAAATAAAATCTTAAAAAAAAAAAAAAAAACAGGCAGTAAGGTGTGACATAGAAAGGGAGGGCCTGGGTTGGGCAATTTAAAATCTCCTGAAACGTCCAGGTGGCATGGAAGGTGCACAGAGGTTCCCATAAGCTCCATAGCACTGGTGGTGTCAACTGGCCAGTCTTCCAAGGAGGTTACTGTGACAAGGGTACAGTGATCCTGGCCTGAGGGCTACAGGGCAAATGGTCTGATCTGGGTACTGGATAGGACTCATAGCTGGGAGGACCTCAAAGCTGATAAAAACAAATGGAAGACATCAGAAGCAGAAACTAGCAGGATGCCCAGAAATGGGATCAGACCAATTGCCTCTCAGTGGACACGAGCCAGAGCACAGAAGGGACTGCCCTGAGCCACCAACATTAAGAAATCACCTTAGCTTCCATCTTGGAGAGGAGCAGATTTTCAGAAAATCTGAAAGCCCGAATCATCCATAGAGACTGAGCTAATTTAAAGAGACTGTTTCAATTACAGGATCAGCCTGACTGTACCATGTTGACCTAAAATTTCATTTTCACGCTCTACCCGATAGGGTGGAGGACTGATGAGAGCCCTCAGATCAGTTCTATGTTTACTTTATACACATCTGTAGTGTCAGAAAATTTGCAACCACATTACAAGCAAAAAGTTTCTATGTTTATAGGCATTTTATCATGATAGTTTCATTTGCAGTGAATTTTTAAGAATGTAAACAGCTGTAGTAGTGTTTGCAGGAGTAAATTTCATCACGATGGCATATCAAAGACACATTCTAGCAGCAGGGAAATGGGAATTAGGAGAAATAAAATCTGGAGTGTCATATAAACTCCTACAAAGTGTGTGTGTGTGTGTGTGTGTTTTCACACATGCTCACACACCATGCACTGAGAAGAGAATTACCATTGCCAGAAACAAGACCTTGTGAGATAGAGAAGTAAGATAGCTGGGACTGAGATCAGGAGCAGGGCAGTGGGGAGCCTATGAAGTTGTGCTAACACGTTAGGGCTCCTGGAAGCTGATGCTGGGCCGCCCTGGAGGTCACCTGCAGCTTCGTGGGGAGTTCACGTGCACGTTCCTGCTGGCCTCCTTCCTCAAGCACCTCCATCTCTCTACCTGAAGTCTTTCTCTGGGAATGTGCTCAGCATACCACCCTGGCAGGCTAGAAACACTGGAGAGGTAATACCCCAGGCCCAACTCTCAACAGTGACTGATGGGAGCTAGTGGATCAATACCCCATCTTCCTCTCTTTTCAGTAGGACAATTCTGAGAAGTGCTCTACCCTGTCTCAGAGGGCCCCTATCAGACTAAATCCTGGTTGTCTGCTGGAGCAGCCCACTCATTAACTCGGCTCCCCTCCCATGCCTGCTTCCCTTCTCCACTCTGCCACTGTGCTTCCTGGGGTAGCCTCCCAAGTCCAATCAAACACAGAGCCATGAGTCGGGGTCTGTTTTTAGGGAAACTCAGATAAGACAGCTAGCTAGACTGGGAATGGAAAGTGACCTGACTGACAAGCCCTAGCAATGAGCAAAGTATGGAAAAGAACAGAAACCTCTATGTGTAAGATAACTTATAAAGGCTTATGCATCTCTAACAAACTTGTCCCGTCACTATGTTGTACACCCAAAACAAAGGTAACACTGTGTGTCAACTATACTTCAATTTTTTAAGAAAGGGTTTATGTATCTCTTTGCTCTTTTAAAGCTTTTAATATGCTGGCTAATTGAACATAATAAAAATAAATAAATAAAGCTTTTAATAAATTCCAGACCACCTTGGCCATGCTGGGGGAAACTAAGGGAAGGACTTTTGCTTAGGTGTGAGTGAAAGCCTAAAAGCTGACCCAGAATTGCTGCAGAGACTTGGGGGCCACATGGTCTGACTGTAGGAGCCTTTCAGAGACAGAAAGAGGCTTGCTTGATCTAGTCACCTCTTGACCAGCAAATAGTCTGCTGGGGGCTAAATCTTAGAGGTTGTGGGTTTTACCTTACCAAAGAAGACATTTCCCAGAATCTGTTTCTCCGAACACACCATTTTCCTTCTTCTCAGGCAAGTATCTCTAATACACTACGGTGGTCATGAAACACATGCACAACAAGGTAGAGTGCAATTTAGTCTATGAGTTGACAGAAATGCTTAAAATGATGAAACAGGATATGGCTGTAGGATGAAAAACATTTCTTCTGCTGTGAACATATATTTAGTCCATCTGCTTCTTTATTCTTGAGTACTTTGTTCCAGCAGTGCGGGCACCCACTGAGAATGTTATGCTAATACGACATTCTTCTGAGATGGTTTGCTGTGGCATTAATATTTGAGCTCACTTGTTGCAGCCTTCCCATTGAGCCAAAATGGGTGTGCGACTGACAGGTTGTGTTGTTCTTGTTCACCTTTCTTCGGATAATTATTCACCTTGAGAATGGTCAGCGCTGCTTTCCTGCTGGGCTCAGTCATGTCTAATGCTTTGATCCACTTCTTCCATTGATGTTGCCCTTTCTTATGACACTTGCTAATTGAATTTAGATCAGTGCCAACAGTATCTCTGAAGAAAAGAATTCAGGGGAATGCTTAAGAATATAATCATATTTTTCTCTCCATGTAGCATTCATTATGGTGTTCTCAATGACTTGCTCAACTTCACAGAGACATTAGCTTGTAAGGCCTGCGTCTGGATTTAGGGTCTTAGGAATGCAGCAAGATTTGGTGAATTGTTTATCCAGAAAACAGTGGCTAAGAACAATGTCACTAAGAATACAAAGTAAAAATTGTGATCAAGAAGAAAAGTAGAAACCAGACCTGGAGAAGCAGTTGCTGGCCTTAAGTTTTAGGAGAGCTACAGCTCTGAAGATGTAAATAAGCCAAGGGTCAACAGCTGAGCCTATCAGAAACAGGTCTAGAAGCAGATTGTAAGACAGGTTGGGTGAGGTTTTTTGGACTAAGGCCATGAACAATGCAAAGGTGACAGGGACTCATTTTGTGGTAGGCTAGTTTCATGGCTATAGTAATAATTATCTCACCAATTATATGCCAATTACTTCTGTGGTTTCCCCATTCCTGGGAATAGTGCTGTGTTGGACTTTCTGGCTCCCTTATGGTTGGATAGAAGCATTTTACTGGTTCTGAGCCATGAGTTTTAAGCAAATGCCATGTGTTTCCCTTCCAGCTCAGAGCATTTAATTGCCATTGCAAGACTCACCAAAGCCATCTTTTCCCACTGGAATGAGGATTGGCAACCTTCAAGATGGTGACTGCGACAGCAGCCTGGGTCTTCAAGTAAGAAACCATGGAGCATATTGTCATAGCAATGTAATAGGACAGATGGTGGCTATACTTGCAGTGAACACAGAAAAATGTATAAATGTGTCAAATTACTATGTTGTATACCTGAAACTAACATAACATTGTGTGTCAACCAGAATCAAATTAAAAAAAAAGAAAAGACAGTGTGGAGCCAAGCACCTAGCTGACCTGTGATGGATATGAAATAGCAAGAAATATTTTGTTTTTAAAGCCACTGAGATTCTGAACTTATTTGTTACCACAGGAGAATCTTACCTAACCTGTCTAATATAGTGAGAAAGAGGCAATTCTGCTGGGTTCAAAGAGATGAATTTGCTGAATATTACTCACATTTATACAAGAATCATGATGTAGTGAAAAGAACATGATAGGATGGTTGGATGAGAGAGTGGGTGGATGGGTAGATACAAAAATATATAAGATGGTAGAAAAAAAAAGATAGTAGGAAGGGAAAAATGAAGGGGGGGAATCGGAGGGGGAGAGGAACCATGAGAGACTATGGACTCTGAGAAGCAAACTGAGGGTTCTAGAGGGGAGTGGGTGGGGGGATGGGTGAGCCTGGTGATGGGTGTTAAAGAGGGCACGTACTGCATGGAGCACTGGGTGTTATACGCAATGAATCATGGAACACTACATCAAAAACTAATGATGTAATGTACGGTGATTAACATAACATAATAAAATAAAATTTAAAAAAATATATATATATATAAGATGGTTAAATACTGATGATTGTAGGATGGAACTAAGACTTCAGGGATCCTGAGTTTAATCTGACTTCCTATTAACTGTGTGCTCAGGAATACCAGCTCATTTAACCTCTCCCATAGAACATCAGTATCTTCATCTGTACAACAGAGGAAAGAACATCTTCTCAGCCTTCTCGAAAACTGTATTGACAACTGTGGCCAAGAGACTCCAGGTGGCCCACTATGATCCCTACTTCTTGGTGTCCAATCCCCTCCCCTTGATGTGGGCAGGACAAGTGGCTTACTTCTAGTCAATAGAATATGGTGAAAGTTACAGCTCATTCTCTGATTATATTATGTCATGTAAGGCTCCATCTTGCTGGTGGACTCTCTCTAGAAACTCTTTGCCAGACTTATTAAAATCAATGGGTAAGTTGAAAAAGCCCATGTACCAAGAAACAATGGGCAGCCTCTGGGAACTGAGTGCCCAGTAGCTGAGGACGCAGCAAGAAACCAGGGCTCTCAGTCCTACAACCATAGGAAATTAATACTGCCAATAACTTGAGTGATCTTGAAAGCAGATTCTTTTTCAGCTGATCCTCTAGGTGGGAACGCAGCCTAGCTGACCCCTTCATCACACCCTTGTGAGACCCCAAGCAGACAACCCAGCTAAGCAGTGCCCAGACTTCTGAACCACAGAAACTGAGAAAATAAATGTGTGCTGTTTCAAGCTGTTACATGTATTACTGTTACTTTATTATGCAGCAACAGAAAATGAATATAATACTTTCATGAATTAAGGCATGTCACAGCATTAAATAAACTGAGAAGTGCTGAATACATGTTAGGTATTCGCTTCAAAGTACACCAAAAACTTCATGGACGCTCTACATGGTACAAAGTCAAAAAAGTTACTCATATGTTTTGGGGATGGGGGGATCCACAAGTCATTTTTTAACCAAGTCTTCACATAAACTTTTCCCATTTTCCTTAAAATTACAGCATCTACTCTTTTATTCTGCCCTTGAAGTTCTGACGGCTGTGTCACTGATTGCTTTTGGTCTGTGATATACATAACTTCTATATTGCTGTCAATAAAGACAAAATCTGGGGTTTACTACTCCTTCTCAGAGAACTCTGAAAAGCCCAGGATATTTTAACTATGGATCAAATTTAATAGGTGTGCTTCGGCTCACATTCCAGTGGAATTGCCACTTCTATCATTTTTACTATTACCCTACATGTTGCCCTAACTACAGAGAGCATCAATAAGTGCTTGTACTTTGTTTCTAAGTTTTTCTTCTAGAGACTTAAAATGCATGTTGAAGGGATATTGTCCATGTTGATATGCCAAATTTCATCACAATTACGGAGTATAAATGATATGCTCTCAATTTCTGTTACCAGTAATAACACTCCTTGCCTTCTATGGCAAATCTCCTTCCAAGAACCCCTGACCCATGTATAATCAGCTCTGTGGCTCTGGGATAGGACAACATAGAGCTTTTCCCCTAATCATTCCAAATCTGCAGTACAATGATTATGATAATACCCAACAAGGAGTATCCTCTAAGGGCCAGGCTCTTTGCAAATACTTTATCTAATTCTCAAAATGACCCTGCAAAGTAAGTGTTTTCATTTCCATTTTATAGATCTGGAAACTCTGACTTAGGGAGAATAATTTCCCAACCTGAAGTCATAAATCTGTTAAGTCACTCAACCAAGATTTTAAATCAGGTGTGTTAGACCATAGCCCACCTTCTTCCTCCACCCTACCAACCCTTCTAACACTAAAAATTGAGAAAACATCATAGCACCAATTTAAGAATATTTCCCAATCTTCTCCCATTCATTAACATTTTTTAATGTTCTAGCCCTTTGTAGGTGGTATCTTCTAATCACCAGTTTAGATATACAGTGATGCCAAACTCTGTAAAGGGATCTTCTATTAGTTAGGAGTACACTCGGCTATGAGTGATAATGCAAAATTACATTTGCTTAGGGGCCCCTGGGTAGCTCAGTTGTTAAGTGTCTGCCTTCGGCTCAGGTCATGATCTCAGGGTCCTGGGATCGAGCCCTGCATCGGGCTCCCTGCTCAGCGGGAGGCCTGCTTCTCCCTCTCCTCCTCCCCCTGCTTGTGTTCCCTCTCTCGCTGTGTTTCTCTCTGTCAAATAAATAAATAAATAAAATCTTCAAAAAAAAATTACGTTTACTTAAACAAGATACGAGTTTACTTCTCTTTCAGTAGGCCTTGTATGCATTTGGACATGATTAAATCCAGGACCCAGCCCTCAGGAAATTTACGATCTAAAGGAAAAAATAAATAACTGCTGATAATGTGAAACGGAATGTACACTTTGCTATAGTAAAAATAGGAGTAATGGGCTGGGGAGCACAGAAAAGGTGGTTCTAACTGGTAAAACCAAGAAGATTCCTTTGAGGAAGTGACATTGAATTAAGCTTTGAAGGTGAGAAAAATTTCAGTAGACAACAAAGGAGTTAGGGAGATATGTAAAATGCAAGGGGGAGACAAGGGCATTCCATGCTAAATAAATAACATGAACAAAAACAGAGAATAATAAAAGTGCTAGTCCATTTCCCATTTATAGAGAGGGTATGCATCTGGAAGAGGCTCCTTTTTTTCTTGTCCCCTCAATATCCACCCTTCCTTTCTTTCGTAGTAATAGAATCTTTAGCTAAGGACATGGCCGCTCAAAATAAAGACGACATTCCCAGACTCCCATATAGCTAGTCTGACCACATGACTAAATTCTGATTGATGGGATCTATACAGATAGATGTATCATTAGATAGCAACTGAGAATCATCCTTAAGAAACCGGCCAGCCCTGTCCTTGTCCTCCTCTACTTCCCTTTACTTCCTTCCTACATGTAAGAATGTGATGTTGTGGCAAAAGCTTGAGCAGCCATCTTGGAATTTGAGATGCATTTGGGCATCATGTTGGAGGTTCCAATATCCTATAATTTGCATAGAACCTTCCCATAGGTCCAGACCGGCTTTTCCATTGGGAACAGGGTCAGTGGGGAAAATACTATGCCTGACCCTTGCTTGAGATCTACAATGAGAATGTGTCCTACTGAACAATGTTGAAAAGAGACACAGGCCGCCAAACAGACATCAATTCTAGATTAACACACATTCTTAGCTGTGTTTTTTGAATACATGAAGGGGATGGGTACCTGCTTAAATCCTTGTTTAAATCCTCCTTCTCTCCATATCTACTTCCCTCCCTACACTTTTTCTCTCTTTCAATCTCCAAATTCCCTGAAAATTTCCTTCAAAATCTTCTCCAGTAACTTTAACTTTGTTATTTCTCCTGGTACCCCTCTGAAGACCCCAGGCATGCAGCATTCCACAAAATATTTTATTGTTTTGTAGAATTCAATAAAAGGTGGTATTTTCAATGTTAGTCTTTGATTTTAACCCCTGAATGTGTCTCTGTTTCAGTAAGCAACCAAGAACCTCTAAAGAAACAATAGAAAATATGTGCATCAGACAATATTGCTTGCCTTCTCCAAAGGCATTTCCCTTGTTTCCTTACTAATAACACTTATTTTGTTCAGATTTGAGGAAGCAGTGTGCTCAAGGAAGTTTGGACTCTATCCCAGCACTAGAAGATTAAACATAATTAGCCAAGCCAGCCATGCTGATTCCATTTCCTCTACCAGTGATTGGTGTGAGCGTGGGCATATGACCCACTTCTGGTCCAAAGGGCCTGAGGAGAACCTAATAGGAACTTCTCAGAATGACTTTTCTCCATGATTAAAAAGAAGAAGAAGGGTCACCTGGGTGGCTCAGTCAGTTAAGCGTCCGACTCCTGATTTTGGCTCAGGTCATGATCTCAGGGTCTTGAGATTGAGCCCGCATTGGGCTCCATGCTGGGCATGAAACCTGCTTAAGATTCTCTCCATCTCCCTCTACCCCCTCCCCACTTGCAAGAGCACTCTCTCTCTTAAAAAAAAAAAAAAAAAAGGAGGAGGAGAAGCATAAAGGAAGCACTCTCTTTCCTGTTTGAATTCAGTTATGTGAGGACATGATGCTTGCAGCTATGGCAGTCATTTTGTGACCATGAAATAAAAATCAGAAGAATCACAGAGAAGCTGACCCGGGACCCAGATATCAACTGTGCTGCTGAATTAGCAAACCTCAGAAACTTATTTCCAGATTTGTGCTATGTGAACAATAAACTTTTTTTTTTAGTCTCTATTAAGTATTCCATTTCTTATAGCAAAAAGCACCCTAACTGATAAAATATTCATGAATGACATCTATTTGCTTCCCTTTCACTCAATATTTCAAGGTTATTGAAGTTATTATAAATAAAATTATTGAATATTATTATAAATACAATCTTCATTTTTAGTTAGGTATAATTATAAAACAGACATAATTCATAATCTCTACTGATAGTATTTGATAGATACAATTAGACCTCCTAGACACATGAAGCTAAATCTTTATGGTCATCACAGTCAGGTCATTTTACAATGTCTGAAGGCAGCCTTTACCAGATGGTAAATCTCATTTTCATTTCCTCACCTGACTGGCTGAACCCACTGGCTGCCCAGCCAAAGAGGTTGACAGCCATGCGGTGTGCTCATCGTGTCTACAGCCAAGCTTGGTGCTTGACCTGAGACTGGGGGCCTTAGATGGCCCCAAGCCTCTCAGCAGAATGAAAAGCCAAGTGGTCAAACTGGAAGATCTGCACAGAGACCAAAGA